GGATCCGGTGTGGTATGCAGGTGGCGAAATACAGAATCCGCAGCGGATGATGCGGGCGCTTGAAGTGGTTATGAGCACCGGAAAGTCGATTCGAAGCTTTCAGCAGGCCGTGGCGGCTGGAAGAAATTTCAATATCATTAAAATTGGATTAACGCTGCCGCGGGAAGAATTGTACCAGCGTATTAACCACCGGGTGGATGAAATGATAGCGCAGGGGCTTGAGCAGGAAGTACAGTCCCTCTTGCCCTATCGCAGCCTGAATGCCCTGCAAACAGTGGGTTACAGCGAAATCTTTGATTGTCTGGATGGTGTTGTTGAGCGCCCTGCTGCCATCGATCTAATTAAGAGAAATACCCGCCATTATGCAAAGCGCCAGCTGACCTGGTTCTTAAAAGATGGAGACATAAAATGGTTTTCACCTCTTGATTATAGTCAACTTATTAAATATTTACATAACTTGGTGTAAGAATTGCAGGAAGTTTGGAGCAATATCCAATAATTAAAATAAACGGACCTATAAACGCATTTTAACCTAACGGAAATCTGTGAAAGACCCACGTACATCCATTATCTTTTTGAAAGCCGCGTAAAAACATAGGTTTAGGCGCTGATCTCAAAAAACACAAGAACGCCCCTTCGTAAAGACGGGGCGTTCTTATGTCCGGCTGTTAATGATAACCGTTCTTAAATAAAAAGCAAGCCCTTACCGGGCCTGCTTTTTTATTTAAAAGGGGTAGCTGGATTAGAATTTATCCCAAAAAAGCTTTGTGGTTACCTCATCGCCGCCAATAGCGCCGGCAGCGGCGGTGTAGTTCACGGTGTTTACGTTTTGCTCATTGATGGGGTAGGTAAACCTTACCGGGTAGTCTGATGCTGCATTGGATGGTTTGGGTAATACGGGGAAATCAAATCTCCGCTGCTCTATCCACGCATCCCATCCGCGGTTGTACAGTGCTATCCATTTTTGGGTACCAATCTTTTGTTTCCAGGTGCCGGTAGCAGTGGCATAGGCAACCGCGGGCTGTGCCAGGTAAGCAGCAGCATCAGCGGCGGAGCCACCCCAGAAAAGAATGGAAGCTGTAATGGCTTTGTTGTAAAAAGATTCAGCTGTTCCACCCACAGAAAAACCTCTTTCCGCCGCTTCTGCCAGCAGGAAAGCAACTTCTGCATAGTCCAGCAAATCGCCGGGAAAATCAGCATAGCTTAACCTGCCTGCATCTGTTACATCGCCGGGGTTAAACTGTTTAATCAGTCCTGCCGGTTTGGAAAAAGTGGAATAAGAACTGGAGCGGCCGGGCCCGTTGCCTGAATAATTACCTGCATTGTCTATGGTAAAATAATAAGGGCGGCGTGGATCGTTGTTGGCGTTCATTGTGTTTACCACTGAACTGTTGGCCACAAAATCTTTTCTGCCGCTCTGTACCAGGTCTACCCAAACAGGGTTGGTATTGGGCGGACTGGAAACATATTTAAACAGGGCATTATTATTATTAGACGTGAAAACGCCTGCTGCCACGGCTGCTTCCACGGCAGTTTTGGCTTTTGCAGCGTCATCATCTGCAATGGTCATGGCCATTTTCAGTTTTAATGAATTACCAAATTTTTTCCAGGCGTTTACATCACCACTGTAAATAATATCGGCCTGTCCAAAACTGCCGGCAGTAGCATCCAGTGCTGCAAGGCTGGTATCCAGCCTGGTCAGCAAATCTGCAAACACTGTTTTCTGGTTATCATATTTTGGAAAGGTGTTCTTAATATTCAGGGCGGCTGAATAAGGCACATCGCCAAAAGAAGTTACCAGGTAATACCAGGTGTAGACTTCCATGATATCTGTAATGGCCAACTGGTTTTTTTGTGTTTTTGCGCTGGATGATTCTGTGGGCACAATGGCTTTTACTTCCTGGAAATCGCGAAGTACATCCCTGTTGAGGGCATCCCACATATTGTCAGGTATCTGGCGTGTAACAATATCATAACGGCTTTCATCCGTGTAGGTAGTTTCCTGCCAGTATTGTACCACCAGCCTGAAGATGTTCAGGTTTACATTGGTGGAAGTGAGCGTATTGCTGAGCGTGCGCTGCGCGTTGGTAAATAGTGCCGCAGAAGGAAGGCTGACCGGGTTCTTCGGATCCTGGTTCAGGCTGGTGAGATCTTTTGTGCACCCCGCCAACAAAAAGGCGGATGCCGCAAGTATGCATATTTTTTTCATAATCATTTTTTAGAAATTTAATTTAACATTGAAAGCAAAAGACCTGATAGCAGGATAAGCACCGGTTTGGAAACCCTGCAGGTTGCCTGAGCTGAAACCTTCTTCAGGATCAGAATAAGGCAGGTTTTTATGGATGATCCACAAATTCCTTCCAATCAATGAAAAGTCGATTCCTTTAAAGGGTTTAATACGTGCAATGGTTTTGGCGGGTAAAGAATAAGTAAGCACCGCTTCACGCAGTTTTACATAACTGGCATCATATACAAAAGCCGCGTCGGGGTTAATGGAATAGCCATAGGCGCCATAATCACTGTTGCTGGTCCTGGTGATATTGGCTTTGCCATCCTGTGTAACACCCGGCCTGATAAATCCGCCACCGTCTGCCAGATCATTCCTGGACGGATTGCCCAAATCATTAAGGCCCGCAGTTTCTTTGTACAAACCGGTAGCCAGACCATAGTACATGTCTGTTGAGAAAACACTACCGCCTTTTCTTACATCAATCAGAAAACTGAAAGCAACATTCTTGTATTTAAATGAGTTGTTGACACCACCTATCCAGTCGGGGTTGATATTGCCGATTACCTCATTGGAAGTAGCCGACTTCAGGTAATCACCTCCCGCATCCACTGTTTTCTGTCCGTTGGTATAGATAAAGTTTGTACCGCGGATGGTGCCATAAGGCTGGTTCAATGAGGCATTCAGTGTTACGCCGCCCTGGTAAGAACCCAATACCAGGTTTTGTGATTCTTCGCCCAGGTCATTTTTAAACAGGGCCAGTACTTTATTCCTGTTGCGTGTCCAGTTTACATTGATGGTCCAGGAGAAATCAGCTGTTTTAAACGGTGTACCATAAACGCTTAATTCAATACCCCTGTTCTGAACGGTACCGGAGTTAAGGTAGTAAGCCGTATAACCGGTAGAAGTAGACAGGGTTACGGGTACTATCTGGTCAATGGTTTTTGTCTGGTAATAGGTAACGTCAAAACCTACACGATTTTTCAGGAACGCCATTTCCAGGCCTGCTTCTGCACTCTTTGTACGCTCTGGCCGCAGGTTCACATTGTTTTTAATGCTGGGCACGGTAGCCTGGCCAACAGAACCAATGGGGGGCAATACATTGTAAACATCATTTACACTGTAGATAGGCGCATCGTTGCCCACTTCAGCATAGTTGGCCCGCAGTTTTCCGTAAGACAGCCAGGGCGAGCCCTTCATCAGCTCAGAGAAGGCAAAGCCCAGTGATACGGATGGGTAATAGTAAGTATTGTTGCCCTTTGGAAGGGTAGAAGAGGCATCCCTGCGGATGGTTCCATCCAGGGTAAGCATATTTCTCCAGCCAATGGTGCCTCCGGCAAATACACCCTGTACTTCCCTTCTGCGGTCTGCTTCCGTGGGGGCATTGGGCGCATTCAGTGAATTGTTCAGTGAATAAATACCGGGTACAAAAAGACCACCGTTGGTAATACCGAAAATACTCTGATCGCGTTGCTTCCTGATATTGGTACCCAGCAGTGCTTTAATGGCAACGTCGTTGGATACTTTTTTATCGAAGTTGATCAGCAGGTCGTAGTTGGTTTCATTCCAGCTATGGTTAAAGCGTGAATAATAAGGAACGCCAACAGAACCTACCGCTTTTCTTTCTTCCTGGATTTCGCTGTAATTGTCTACCGATACACGGCCCAGGATATTGAGCCAGTCGGTTAATTTGTAGTTCAGGTTTACATTACCGAAATAGCGGTTACGCGTATCAGTTTCATAATTCTGGTAGCGTACAAAATAAGGATTGTCCCAGAAGATGGGCACCAGGTTGTCTGGGTCGGCCCAGTTCCAGGTAACATTTTTCTTTGTTCTGAAATAAGCGTCTTTCAGTTCTTTAATATCCACATTGGTCTGAAACCATTCCCGGAAATTGGTCATTACATTGCGTGCGCTGGCACCATCGTAACCGGTACCATAACGGCCTTTACCATTTACGTTGGAGAAATTGACGGAGGCGCCTGCTGTTAACCGGGGCGTAATATTATAGGTAGCGCCAAAGTCTACAATGTTTTTTATGATACTGCTGTTGGGCAGTAATCCCTTATCGTCATTACGGGTATAACCCAGTTTAAAATTGCCTTTTTCTGAACCGCTGTTGATGAATACGCTGTTGTTTAAAGAAACAGGATGTTCAAAAAAGGAATTGGGGTTATTGGCGGCGGCTACCCAGGGGCGTGCTTTGCCATAGTTGGGAGAACTGGGATCAAAAGCATCCCATTGGTACACCTGCAGGTTGGGATCGAATTTAGCACCATAGGAAGCGTCTTCGCTGGTGGGTGTAACCAGGTCGTCTATACCGTCTCCATTAATATCCCTGCTGAAAAAGCGGCCGGTGGCATCTTCATAATAGGCCCCATATCCTCCGCCATATTCATTCTGGTATTCAGGCAGGGTGGATTTGTCAACTGAACCTACTACTACGCCGGAATTAACAGTGATGCCCAGTCCGCGTTTACCCTTCTTGGTAGTAATTAGAATGACACCATTGGCGCCAATAGAACCATAGAGTGCGCTGGCTGCTGCACCTTTCAATACAGAAATAGATTCTATATTATCTGGATTGATGTCTGCTGCAGCATTACCATAGTCGTATCCACCGCCACCTTCCTTCTGACCGGCAGTATTGGTATTGGCATTGTTAAAAGGCACGCCATCTACTACAAACAGCGCCTGGTTATCTCCTGTTAAAGATTTAACCCCTCTTAATATTACGTTGGTAGAAGATCCCAGTGCATTGTTTTGTCTTACTTCAAGTCCGGATACTTTACCGGAGAGATTGGCGGCAAAATTACTGCTCCTGTTTTTACTTACTTCCTCGCCGGTTACCTGTTGGGCAGAATAACCCAGCTCATTTTTGTTTCTGCGGATGCCCAGTGCCGTTACTACCACTTCCTGCATGTTGTTCTGTGCTTTCAACACGGCTGAAACAGTGCTGTTATTGCCGGTGGCTATGTCGGCTGTTTCAAATCCTGCACCGCTGATGGTGAGTACAGCATTGGCCGGCGCCTCAATGGAGAAGCTGCCATTTTGATCCGCCGCCACTGCGGCTTTTGCGCCCTTAATCTTAATGGTGGCGAAAGGAACAGGGTCTCCCTTTTCATCCTTTACCTGACCTGTTACGGTTCTCGCCTGCCCCATGGCCAGCACCGCAAACAGCACCATGAACGATACAACTGATACTAGTTTTCTCATGTGATCTTATGTTTTAGTGTAAAAGAAAATGCCCCTTGTTCAGCATTGTAAATGTGTTGTGTAATGGCAATAGATCATCCCTTCAATCGTTTGATCAAATTTTTTTATTGTAAGCCAGGTTTTGGTTAAACACGTTGCGAAGACAACTGGTCTCTATGCAATGCGGCAGCTAAAGTGTAGTATAAGGGTTTTGCCTATCACCGGTATGGTATGGGGGTAGTGATAATTTGTTAAGACAAACATAACATGGAAGATGATGCTTTGTTAAAATTTTTAATGAAAAATTTTTCTTTTTTATTTTTCTTGATGCGAAACAAAGATTTTAGATGGGATGGGTAATTTTTTACTCATTTTTTTAACCGGCTTTTAATTTTTTTGTTAATGGACGCTGCGGATTTGCGAATAAAATAGTTAGTGTTGTTTTAGTTGGCCCCCGGAAAATGCATAGCGGCACCACAAAGCTGATTACCCTGCACAATATAATTTTGCTGATTGCCGTAGTTTTATGGTTATCAACACCCCCGCAGTAAGAATTAATGTTTTATTAATATGCCGGGTTTATTAATAGATCAATTTTGCTGTAATGTATACTGCTCATCCAACCGCATCATTTGGTGCTGCTGATTTCGGAAATCATTTCTTATGGGGCGTTGCCATGGCGGCTGCACAAAATGAAGGGGCCTGGAACGAAGACGGCAGGGGCCCTTCCATCTGGGATGTGTTTGCACGGCGCAAAGGCAAAATAAAAGGTGATGCACGCCCCTCCCAGGCTACTGATTTCTATCACCGGTTTAAAGACGATTTGCTGCTGGTGAAAGCATTGGGCTTTACTACTTTCCGTTTCTCACTTTCCTGGTCGCGCATCATGCCCGATGGAACGGGTAAAGTAAACCAGGCGGGACTTAACTTTTATCACCGTTTGATTGATGAATGCCTTCAGCAGGGCATAATGCCATTTATCACATTGTATCATTGGGATCTGCCACAGGCACTGGAGCAGAAAGGGGGGTGGACCAGTCACCTGATGAACAGGTGGTTTATCAGGTATGCCTCTGTTTGTGCAGAAGCATTTGGTGACAGGGCAAAGAACTGGATAGTGTTGAATGAACCGTTCGGCTTTACATCGCTGGGGTATATGCTGGGCAGGCATGCGCCGGGTAAAACCGGGCTGGACAATTTTCTGAAGGCGGTGCACCATGCGGCGCTGGCCCAGGCGGATGGCGGCCGTGTATTGCGCAGTGAAATCAGTAACGCATATATCGGCACCAGCTTTTCCTGCTCAGCAGTGCATCCGCATTCCGCGTCGGCTGCAGATACAGAAGCAGCGCGCAAAACGGATATTTTGCTGAACCGGCTTTTTATTGAGCCCTTGCTGGGAAAAGGCTATCCCAATGAAAATTTTAAACTGATAGAAAAGCTGGAGCTACTGAATAAATCCTGGAAGTACACAGAAAGACTGCGTTTCGATATGGATTTTATCGGGTTGCAGAATTATTTCCCGGTGGTGGTGAAACACAGTCCTTTTATACCCTATGTAAACGCCATGGAAGTAAAAGCCTCCAGCCGCAAGGTGCCGCATACTGCCATGGGTTGGGAGATAAGTCCTGATGGTTTTCATTCCATTTTAAAAAAGTTCTGGAAGTACGGTGGGGTAAAAGAAATCATCGTAACAGAAAGCGGTGCAGCTTTTACAGACAAACTGGTAAACGGCCAGGTGCTGGATACGGAGCGGATGCACTACCACCAGCAATACCTGAAAGCGTTGCTGCAGGCAAAGAAAGAAGGCATTAAAATAAAGGGGTATATGGCCTGGACGCTCACCGATAATTTTGAATGGAGCGAAGGCTACAATGCCAGGTTCGGACTGGTGCATACCGATTTTAAAACGCAGCTGAGAACGGTAAAACAATCGGGTTATTGGTTCAGGGATTTTTTGTCTGAACTATGATTTTTCTGATTGATGTGATAGCTGTGATTGGTACGACGCTGATGTAATTGTGTGCGTACGCCTACCTGGGTCAGGAAGTCATTATAATCATTTTCATCACACAAATCATAGTTCAGACAGCCTAAAACTTGAAGCCCGCAGTTACTGCTACATTGCTGCCGGTGCCTTTTACCAGTGCAAAAGTATTGGCCTTATCGGGCAGCCTGTACGGAAAATTAACGTCGTTTGTCAGACTGTGCACATAAGTTAGATCCAGGAAAAAACCTTTGTTCCTGTAGCCCAGTCCGCCGCTTACATACATTTTATTTCCTTTCAGCTCACTGTCTTTATAGGGATCCATATAATAAGAAAAACCCAGCCTGGCCATGAGTGTTGTAAACTTAACTTCTCCGCCCACCCTGAAATTCAGGGCGTTTTTGTAATAGTATTTAATAGCCCGGTTTACGTCATCGTAGTAAGTGTCACCGGCATTGTCTTCAGCAGTTTTGTACTTATTGCTTTTATAGGATACATATTCTACATCTGCAGTAATAAAGCCCTTCTGTTGTTTTACATCTTCCACTGAATTGAGTACATAAGCCGCACTCAGCATAAGCCGCCATGGACTGGTTAAATCGTACTTGGTTTCAGGGTTCAGTTTCAAAGTCTGATCAGAACTGGCAGTGATGGTACTGTTTCCTGTATTTACATAGTTTTCTGTATTGGTGGTCATGCTGGCATAATAAGTATCTTTCAGGCCATACAGTGTTGGCGTGTGTACGGCGAAGCCTAACCGGAGGTTTTGCGCGGCCTTATAGATGGCGCCCAGTTTCAGGTTCAATCCTATGCCCTGGCTGGTCACTTTTTCTGTAAGGGTAGAACTGGCGAAATTATTATTTGCATCCCCGGTTATATCTGTTTCTGTAAAAACGCTGTTCTTTTCGTAGTTAACAATAGGAATGCCCAGGCTTCCACCCAGGTATAATTTATCCATATGTGTGGCGGCAAAGCTCACGGCTATTTCCGTAATACCACCTTTGGTTTCGATGGTTTTTTGCTGGCTTACACGGTAAGGAGCATTGTTTTTCAGGTTCTTCCATAAAGCCATGCTCACAAAATCAAAGTTTGTATTGCCAGGCAGTGTTAAGGTATCTATGAGGTAAGTGTAGAAAGCCAGTTTTGCAGCAGGTGTAACTCTATCGCTGGCAAGAA